AAATGGCACCCCAGACCATAATGCCTTGTTGAGGGCCGGTGTGGCGTGCAATAGTGAAGGCAGGATCCCCCCTCTGTCCTGTGCGTCTCCAAACACGTCTTCGATGATCGTCAGGATACAGTTGGAAGCGGGATTCGTCGCTAAAGACTATACGTCCCCAGTCGGCATCATTTCAGCTATATCTGTTCAAAACATTCATGCATACGAAATTTCAAAGCAATCGGATGATTGCTTCTTGGTGCATCGATTTTTTTTGTTATAGAGTGTATTAGGGATGTGGATTAGTGATTTGGCCGAATACCGAGTAATTAGCGACTGAATAGCAAATTTTTTTAAAAATTATTAATAAACATTTTTATCTATAGCTAAATTTAGTCATTATTGAAAAATAATCAAAAATTTATATTATACTATAATAGTTATTAATAAAAATTATGTGACAAAAAACAAACTAATAACTAAAAAAATAAAATAAAGCTGTAAAATTGAAAAAAGAAAAAGAGAAATTAGAAAAAAAAAAATTCTTACTTTAAAACAAAACTTAAATGCTAAAAAAAATAACCCTAAAACAATGTTTAAAGAAATATAGTTAATCAAAAAACTCTTTTAAAAATGCCGCGATGTCATAATCACGCCCCTTAAAATGAAGAATTATATACAAAATGAAGGAGAAAAAATAAAAATCTTAAATCTCGAGAGAAAATTTTAAAACTCAGCAGCTAAGTTTTCCAATTACTGTATTTTCATGGAAAAATTAAAGAAAGAGAATGTAGTCTAATACAAACACTCTTAAAAATAATACGTAGCGTAGTAATAAAAACAAGTTTTTCTTCCTTTCCTTTTTTTTTTTTAAATGGAAAAATCTAGATATAAACAAAAACATAAAACTTTCATAATCTTTAAAATGAAAATCTGATGCGGAAAATGTCCATTTGACTTTTTCACATGGTTGTATTTTCAGAGAAAAAATTGTTATTATAAAGTTTAATGGAAACGCTCTTTAAAGAATGGTGTCATGTAAAAGTCACCGGCAAATAAAATAGTTTATTAAAAAAAAAAGACGAAAAAAAGCCAAAGAGAAATAGAAAAAAATGTTCTTCGTTTTTAAAACAAAACTGAAACCTTGAAAATCAGTTTTCTGGTAATCTGTATTACCTTTCAGGAAAAAAGGAATGATAAAAGAACACAGTCAGTCAAAAACGCACAGTTAAAATGTCCTGCTATAATAAAAATAGTTAGGGAAGAAAAAAAAAATGTTTTTAAGTCTTAAGACAGTGTCAAAAAAACAATGAAATTGATTTGTCTGAATATAATTTAAAGAAAGCAGCTGTACAAAAACTCGTGGTTCAGTACAAAGTAATTAAGTAACAATTCTTCAAATTCCATTATTCCGTTTGTCTTCAATAATTCATCTAACTAAACTAACTATTAAAATAAGCTATTTCTAAAGTAGTAAAACTATTTCTAAAAATGTATAGTTAAAAACACCATTTTAGATTATTCTTTATTAAATCCGATTAGTGCAAACAGTTTATAAATTAAATTAGTTTTGAATATTGCTAATGATTGTTTTGTGCTTTCTTAGATTATTAGACATTTGTCATGGACGAAGAGTAGAAAATGAAAGACAGATGCTTGTTTATCTAGTTTTTGAGCATGTTGATCAAGATTTAGCCACTTATTTGGAACGATGTCCACCACCTGGATTAAGTACAGATTTAATCAAAGTAATCTTATTTTTTATAATTCTTTGCTTCTTAAACTTATGTAGTAATAAATAACTAGGGGTGCAGAATATGTCCGATTGCATGCATGATCAATGTTCCCGGGAAATTTAGGTTGTCCTAGGGAAATTTTTGTTGTTAGCTGAACTTAGTGTCTTAAGAGAAAAAGAATATTTTCTGTTTTGTTAAATAATAGGAATAACACAGTGGCGGATCCAGCGCGGGGGGGGGGGNATTGGTGATGTGCAGTGTCCCCCCCCCCCAAAAAAAAAAAAATTGAAAAAAAATAAATAACATTTTTTTTTAACAGTTTACAAAAGAAATAAAACATTTCACCCATCAATCAATATGTTGTTTAGAATTTTAATAACTCTACCAGTTAGTGCATCAACAGCAGAACGTTCCTTTTCAACTCTTCGAGGTCTCAAAACTTGGTTTAGGGCATCTCAAAATCAAGAACGATTAAATGGACTCACATTATTAAACATTCATCCAGAAATTGATTTGGATGTTGAAAAAATCATTGACAAATTTGCCAAAGTTTCTAAAAAACGCATTACATTTATTATTTAAAGATTTTGAATACTTGAATTATTTATGTATTGTTCTACTGTTCATTATGAAAAAAATAAATGAGAAAACTAGCATTAAAAATCACAGTTTTTTTTTTTTTCAAAAAAAATATTAAAAAATTTTCTTTTGTGGGGGAGGGATCTGAGTCTATGACCCACCCCCCAGAAAAAATTTCTGGATCCGCTGCTGGAATAACATTTTATGTCCAATTCCTTAATTTCTATGTTTGAATTCCTTAAGTTTATGGCTTGAGCCATAAATTTAGCTTTATAAATCATTACGATTTCAATATATTTTGATTTCTATTAACCTTTTTCTTAATATATTATTCTTATTCCTTTTATTCTTATTCCTTTTATTCTGATAGTTTATTCAACAATTGTGTAAAATGAAATGAATATTTTTTCTTGGTTAACGAAAACAATTTTTTAATAGAATGCAGACTTTCCTTACTAAAAATATTTTTAAGAAAAATATAATAACTACAAAAATTTCACTAGAATTCTGGGGAAATTTCGAACCAAAAAATTGTGTTCTGGGGCAATATACTGGAAGAATTTTCTTTACTTTTTAGTAATAACTTAATATAGTTTTTAAATATTTATTTTATTATTTTAGATACTTTAAACTATTGTTTTAAAATAAAATAATCTTTAAAGCTTTGTTATTGAATCTGTAGGGTGAGCAAAACAAAAATCTGCACACCTGTGTAATTTTTGATCTAATGATTGGATTTCACCATACTGAAATGCTATCTTAATGGTTTGAGGGTATAACTTTAATTATGTTTATTCAGTTATTCATGATGACAATCTTTCAAATTGAAATATCTGACAGCAGCAAAACCCTTTTTATTTTGAATAAATGCATCTTGCTTCAACATATTTAGATTCTTGACTCTCAAAATTTTGGAGTAGTCACAACACAATCAGAAAAATGATCCTAATAGTTTAGTCAAAAGAGAACTCCAAGGAAAAATACAAAATTTGATCATAATTAGCTAAATTATTTCTTAGCAATAAATTTTAGTCATTATTTAAAATTTTTGTTTAACTAATAGATCAACTTATTAGATTGTTCAAAGTAATTTTTAAAGGTTTCTTTTATTATAAGCATTTATAGTTATTTTATTCAAACTTATCTACTGTATAAAACATTTTATTCATCGCCTAAAAATGAATTTCTAATTTATTAAAAATTACAGTAATTGATCACACTTTTTATGATTTTTTTTTTGGTCTTTTTAAAGTGTTTTATCTATTAATTTATATAAAAATGTTCATTTTCAAGTATCTGAAAATCTCTTTTTAAGTTTGAGTTGTAAGAATGCTAACAAAATGGAATAGTCATACATTTCAGACAGACAATATTTTCCGAGGTGAAAGTTTTGGGAAGTAGAATTGAAGTAGATAGGGATTTTCTGATAGGTATTATTTCAAAGTGCTGTACTCTTGTGTATAAATCATAAATAGACCTAATTATATTCCAAATTGACCTCTGATATCTGATATATTATTTGTATAGTTATATAACTATTACAAATTTTCTTTTATCATTATAGGATTTAACATATCAACTACTTAATGGATTAGATTTCTTACATTTCAATCGAGTACTGCATAGAGATTTAAAGCCTCAAAATGTTCTGATTTCAAATAAAGGCATTGTGAAGTTAGCAGACTTTGGTTTAGCTCGAATTTACTCTGAAAAAATTCCTTTAACTTCTGTTGTAAGTACTTGAAATTTATCAATTGAGAAATCTGTTACTTTTGTTAATGCGAAGTTTCTTTGTTACTGTATATTATATTTATTATATGTATGCAATCGAACTTGCTTATAATAAGCCCTGATTCAACAAGAACACTAATTTGACGGAGAAATCAAAAACATTTGGTTGATACAATGTTAAGTTACCCGATTTTAATGAACAAATGCAGGCAGTGAGTAATTTGTCAAAATTTCAGAGAACAATATTTTTGTTATTCATAACATTTTTTTGTACTTCCAACTCTTATCCTTTCTTTTAAAAGTTAGTTTAATGTTTCAAAGATAAATGGAAGTTAGTGATGAAGTTTTGATGTTATCAGGAAGTTAGTGATGGTTAGTTTTTTTTTTGCTTTTACAGCTTTTAGAATTTTATACTTTAAATATAAGAAGACATTTTTTATTTAGAATTTTATATTTTAGATAATGTGAAATTTTTAAATTCATTTTTCACACTATTTATTTTTTAATACAATATTCACACTATATATTCTCTAGAAATAAATAATTTAATGTGGATTTTAAATTAGAAATTTTTTAAATTATAAGGAACTTTTAAGTAATAATTTTACTAACCATCAACAGTTAAAGTTTAGTACAAACATAAATATTTACTGTTGAAAAGGTTTCCTGTTATTTTATTTGATACCAAGATTCCAATAGTTCATTTATGTAAGTTCTGTACTTTTTTTGTGATGTACTTCTAAACCTATTTCATCATCTGACTAAGTTTAAGGTAAATATTCTAAACTGAAACTTTTGAGTAAAGTCATACTTATCACATTACTTAAATATGTTTTTACTTTTTCTGAAATACTCTAAAAAATTACTTGATTCTTGTCAAAAATATAAAACTTCTTACACACTTTGATTAATTTTATTACTTAACAATAAATTTTTAAACATCTTATTTAGCCATTTCATTTTTCATTAATTAGGTAGTAACTCTTTGGTATAGACCACCTGAGGTCCTTCTAGCTCAATCATATGCAACTGCTGTAGATGTTTGGAGTGCTGGTTGCATTTTTGCTGAGTTATATAGACTTAAGTATGTTTGTTTTTAGAAATTTGCTTTTAGATATATTATTTAGAACTCTAATAACCCAACATTCAAACTTATAAAAATGTTTTTTTTTTAATGATGTGCACTGTAATAATAGTCTATAGTAGTCACAATAAATGATCTTATTTAACTAGAAAAAAAAACTTATCTTAAAACCTAGATCTGGGCTGAAAACCATATGAATATTCAAATAAGAATAATTTCTTATATTTATTTTTGCTTTTCATATAGTTATGTTCATTAAAATATTTTTTTAAAGATAAAATTGTAAAACTTAGTTACGCATAAGGATTTCATTTAACTAAAAACACTACTCTAAATATTTCAGATTCTAAGTTAATGTGCCAAATAATTTTTGAAAATCTTCAAAATTGGTTGGTTAGAAAGTTTGAAATCATATATGAATTTGCTGTAAAAAAAGAATGTGATATGATATCTATATTTAAGAGTAAATTGAATCAATGTTTGATTATATAGCTGATGTTAAATATTGTTTGTTTATATATGTTTAAAATACATAAATGTAAAATTTGAATGCACTAATTTTTTTACCATTTTTCTTCAGGCCATTATTTCCTGGTGAAAATGATGCTGACCAACTTGCTAAAATATTTGAGTGAGTTCTTCCAACTTGTTCATGATCAATTAATTTTTTTCAAATGTTAATCATATAAAGTTTTGTAATTTAATTTTTAATTGTAAATATATTTAGAAATGTGTGAATAAAAACAAATATATTTAATACAGAGTCATTGGCACCCCACCTGAAGCTGAATGGCCAGCTGAAGTTTCAATAGCGTGGGCTACTTTTCGTTTTTATCGTGGTGTTCCGTTTCAAAATGTGATTCCAGAAATTTGTAAAGATGGAGCAGATTTGTTGCAAGTAAGTTATTCTTCACTAGTCTTTGTAATTATTTATTCTATGTAAAATTCAATTGTAAGAATGATTTTCTATTCATGATGATTTATTTCAATAATCTAAAGTATATTTAAATATATTTTACATAAGTATATATTTTACATAAGCAATATATATTATGTTAAATACTAATTACTTTCGATTCGTTAAGTAGTCTATCGCATTGATAAGTGCGAAAAATTGTTACCTAGATACGTTCTAAATTTAATTTTGTAAGATGACACACTTTCATATGACTTTTTTACATGACACACCTTTACAATTCATTTCATACTATTAAGTATTACAGTAATTATAATATCATTATAAAGGTAAAATGATTATTGAAAACAATTACACAGTCAAATTATTTAAAGTTAACATATTTCACCTTTAAAAAAAAAAAATAGCTTATGGTGTCATTGCTCAGATTTTTTTCACTTTTAAATTGTTGACAGTGCTAATTTAACACTCTTTATTTGAGAAAAGTTGTCTAAATCGTACCACTTTAAATTTCTAAAAAAGCATTGTATACAGAATGTTGAAAAAGGTAAATTAGGAAGCTTTTTTCATATTTAGAATCTGGCAGAAGAAACAAGTGGTCATGTAATCACAATGCACTTTTATTTAAATTAATTGGTTTTATAAGTTTTCAATTTTATAAGTAATTTTTTAACATCCTATATAAGGATATAGGAGGATTAATGTAAAGTACTGTTTTCTAATGTGTCATGTATAGGGTTCAGGTGGTACAAATTAGGCAATTGAGTTGTTAAATTGTATCACTTGAGGACCTTTAGAAATCAGTTAATTTTCAGCATTTACTACAGAAATATATCGTATATCAAAAAAATTATATAAGTAGCTCAATAGCTGTATTTTATTATTAAAATATTTCAAATGTAATTATCAGTAATTTATGATTGATAAAAATTAACACGTAATAAGTGTTATGATTTAGGCAACCTTTCTACATGCATTCTATAATTTGTTGATTGTTATATAAGTGTGAGATGAAGAAAAAAAAAAAAAGAGTAGCTCTATAATATGAAGAGTTTGTGTCAAAAAGGAGGTAGTTCATTGTTTACTGTTTTGAAACTTAATAACTTACACCAATTGAATAATGCAGCTAACTGTTAATGATGCTAATCACTTAATTTATTGAGACACTTAAAAATTATAATTTTAAGAATCAATTTTATAACTGAATACTTTTTAACAATTCAGTCAAAATAATAAAGAGACATATATTTTAAAGGTTCTATAACATGTATTTACACCACTGTCCATAAATCAAGGATAAACAAGGATCCGGCGAATAAAGCTCCAAAAACGAAATAAACATGACTTATTAAGCTAAAACAAGCCCACTTATTAAACTAAAGTTAAAGAACAAAAAAAAAATGGTGTATGTATGATACCATTCATAAAAACTAAAATTTTTGAGCCTTGAAGCAATTATAAAAAAATATCTCCTTTACAAAAGTATTACATGGTTGGTATGATAGTTAATACATTGTATTTCTCCCATGCCATGAAATACAGTAGGTACACCACCTAGGCATGGTGAGTGTCAAATTATTAAGTTGATCTTGGGGAAGATTATTCCACACGGCAAACAAGTTCCAATGCACATGTAGGAGGTGGGTGACTGGTTACAAAGCTTGTTCCCTACATTACCTATCGAATTCAAGTCAGGTGAAAATACTGGCCATTCTGTGCAAATGATATCCTCAGATTGTGGATATGATGTTTGCTCGATGAAGACAACCATTGTCATCCATATACATAAACTCTGCATCCACAGCACTTATAAACAGATGCACAGGGTGCAAAAAAAAAAAAAAAAATCCCTGAATAACTTTTGATCTAATGATTGGATCTTTACATTTTAGGACCCCATTTTAATGGTTCAAAGGGGTGACCTCAAATATGCTAATTAATTAGTACAGACCATATTTTAAGTTATAAAATTTGACACAAAAACGTACATTCTTTGAATAAACATATCTTTTTCTTAACATATCTTTTTAACCCCCAAAATACAGTGCCTACTTCCTCATGCTTTGAACTGTCTGTGTGCTAAATTTCATTGCAGTCGTATGATTGACTTAAAAGATTATACTAAACAGATTATTCTAGATAGAGAACATTCTGTTATTCATTTATACATAACAAGATAATTTAAATTTAGTATAGCATTTCAATGTAATTTTAAGATAAATTGGACTTCTAATATATTAGAAGACAATTGAAACTTAAAATTGTGATTATTTGTTCAATTTTATGATGTTTTGAAACCTGTTAAATGGATAGATAACTTTAATCTTTTTATCTACCTAATAGTAAAGTAGGTTAATTTAGTAAGTAGTTTATTTAAATACAGTAAAAATTATAGGTTAAGTTAGAACAAAATAAATATTTTACTGCGTTATGCTTTATTATTATTTTCAGCTTAAATTTTTTTTCTTTAAAACTTTTCTTTTTGCAGTCAATGCTACACTTTAATCCTGTTAAACGAATATCATGTTGTGAAGCAATGAAGCATCATTATTTTAAAGACTATGAAATGAATCCTCAAATTATTTCGAAGCATTTTGTGAATAGCAGTAAACCTAGAACAAAAGTAAGTTTTACAGTGTTTCATAATAATTAAATTTTTATTAAAGATAATAAAATTTATTAATTTTGTTATTCTAATTCTTTTTCATTTAATTTTTTAGACATGACACAACTGTTAGTTTTTAAAGAATTTCCCAAAACAAGCATTTATCCAATATTTTTTTAAGAAGTTTGACTTTATTGTATTGACAAATTTTTGTAGATTGTGACACTGTATGCATATCAATATTTTTTTTTTATATATATATATGAATCAAATGTGTGTTGAAAGATATAGTATTTTTTAGTAATATTTCTGAGAGTTTACAAAATATTAAGTAACCTGCTTTATATTTTATTAGGTTAAATTTATTTTTCATGTGATATGGTTTTATATTCAGTTTACTGTGGTGAACATGTTTCTAATACCAAGTCTTGAATGTAATGTATTGTAATATTTTATTTTAATGAAAATACGTCATTTAATTGTTTACAGTTTTTATAGATGCGACTATGTAAATTATAATTCTTAGTGTTTTTGACGTAAAATTATTTACTTGTAAGTGCCTTGATAATATTTTTCCTATTACAATTTTATTAAATGCCTTTTTTAGCCTAAGAATTTGCTAAAATTATGATATTTGGGTTTATGTGAATACTTTGTTAGGCAATAGTAAATGAAAAAGGTGTGAAATGGGAAAAAAATTGTTGATTGTATTTTTCTTATTATTTGATGTGTAATGTGTCTACTCTTAAATTTGAACGCCTGCCTTTTGCTCAAAATTGTGAAGTAGTAATCGTTCTGTAATGAACGAAATACTTCAGTGTAAAAATAAAAAAAGCATTACAAGCAATGCATTTTTTTCTTGAAATTATCCCTTATTAAAAAAAAGTTATTTGTTTGAATTGTTTGTGAAGTAAGTGTAAATGTTTTTAGTATCTCCTTTTGCGTTTTTTATTTATTTCTTTGATGAGAATGGTTATTTTTGCAATTTAAGTTTCATTTTCAAGTGTACCTATAAAAACCTTTTTTTTTACTATTAATTTAATTTTAAAATAATAATTAAAATTTACAGTTATTTCAGATTCTTAGCATTTGTAACAGACCTTACTTTATAAAAGCAATTTTGAATGTATACAATCTGCATCATTAATGAATGCACTGCAAAACTCAGCCAGAATGCTAATAAATAGAATGATCCTATAAATTCCTACTAGTCAAGGCTGAATGCTATTTCACTGGCAACTTTTAAATTTTTGCTACGCAATTCCATCACTCAATTAGCAACTTCCAAACTTTGCTATGCAAGTCTCGTATAATAAGGTTGGGTTTTGATAGGATTGCATTCTATTTTGTTATTGTTTATAGTAAAATAATATTTTAATCACAACAATTGTTTTTTTTATTCTATTACTGGAAGCAATGTTAACTAAATATTTTACCAATTCAAGCTGTGTATATTTTGTGTGTACTTACAGGTAATGAGGTTGGGCTTATAATATATTGGTAAAAATCAATTTTATTGTTAATTTATATTATAATTATTGTGTTGTCAAAAATTGTTCAATTCAAATTTATTGTTATGTAACAGTTTTAGCACTTTTTATATTATAAGGCAGTAGTTGTAAGGTGTATAAAATTTACTAATCTTTACGGCTTCTACCAAAAAATTATTGAGTTCAGTATTTATTACAAAAATTAAATTACGCTGTCACTGTTTAATATATATCATGTATTATTTCTGTATTTACACAATTTAGTGCCATACCAACCACATATAGTTAGCATTTATTATCACATTTCAAATTAGCATTTAATGTCTACTTTTTATACTGTTTGAACAGTGAATATACACTGCCAAATATATTCTACCTCTTAAGAGAATGTTTGTGAATTTGTGATGTTTAATAAATGGATATTTTTTAATTTGTTTTAAACTTAGTGTTTCTTAAAATCTAAAATAATTTTAGTTTAGTATAACTTATAACACATCTATCTGCACAATGAAAATTCTTAACTTCACTTTAAGTAAAGTGACTAAAATTAGTTATTTGTATATAGCAGTAAATAAATATTAAAAAATACAGGCATTTGATCAAAGTTGGTGCAAATAAGGTGACTGATATGTTAATTATTAAATTATAAAACTAAATTATTAAAACAAAGGGCATAATCAGCTAACATAAAGAGGCTATTTTTATTTTCTATACCTATTTCTTAAAATTGGTATAGATCTAATAGCTGGCATAAATTTTCTACTAAAATCATTTAACACTGCTCTTGATTGGTTGACCTGAGTTTCTTGGCATGAGCATTCCATATTCTAACAGATTAATGACTTTTCTAGCACTTAATTTCTGATCATTTGGCAATAAAATTTGAATTCTATTTTTCTCCAAATTTGTTTTTTAATTTTAGTCTTTTTCTGATTTTCTATTTGCATTATACCTGATTCCATGTTACAAATGCCACTTCTGTGTGTAGAGTTAACCCCAAAATTTTTAATTTTGGAATCTGTTTTAACAAATCAAGTACTGAGTGTATATTTTTCTAACATTTAGAAAAAACGAGGTTATTAAAAATTTTAAGTAGAGGGAATCATGATTGAAAATTTTAAATTCCATATTTCTATGTGTATTGCAAATTTTATTGCATTTTGTGAAACAAAAATATTTTAAGTGCAAGTTGTTAAATCTGTTACATCCACAGGATAATTATTTATGGCTTACAGAAATACATTACAGCAAAATACACTGAAACCGCAAGTTATGAGACAAAACAAAAGCCCCTCATTATGTAATTTTTTATTCCGTGTGAATCTTCTCTCTTCAAAGTGAACACTCTTGTAATTGAACAGTCATTTATTCAAAATATTATTCTCTAACTTTTCTAAATTTAAGTTTTTTTTTTAGACTTTAAATTTCAAAGAAATATGCATCTTTTCATTTATTAAGGCATGAAATTTTTTGCCTTATAACCAAAAATATTAAACTTTTTCATTACAAAAAAATCATTTTCCTCTTCTGTCACCTCTCTTTACCTTTACAAAGTAGAGAAAATTATACGGACATAGTCTTTTGGATCTTTTCATTTGTAGGATACAGGTTATGAGACCTCACTAGTTGAAATGGTACATTAAATCCTCTCAAATCACCTCTTCTGGAAATTCTTTTCTTAATCAATTTGACCACTTTACCTAACACAGCTAAAAAAAAATAGAAATCTAATTATTGAGGTGTTCAAATAAATCATTTATTCAGACTCTCGACAAATTGCTCACTTTTTTTCTATGCATCATAGGTTTATCTTCTAAGAGATATTGTCAAATTTCCTATCAAGCAACGGGAAGGTGTTAGGGATGTAAACCTATAAATTGGAACAGACTGGGGAAGTGATGTAGGACTGAAATAATTATTTGATTAACTGTGGTATGAATTAGTGTAAAAATGCTAAATGATTTAAAAATATACCATGAAGACATATCTGCTGCTGCTTAATACAAACTTTTAATTACATCTTTCTTTTCAACTGCATAAATATAAAATAAAGTCATGCATATAAAATTTCTTCATCTATTCTTTTTGTACTATAAATTATAATTTTGCTTTGTTTAAATATATATGAATACAAATTAATTATTTCTATACCACTGCAATTAAAAACAATTTGACACTAGCCTTAGTTATTAGTGTACCCTTCTTGAAGACTGGCAGTTTTTGGAGTCCCAAAAGTGTTAGTTTAATCAAGGTTTCACTATACTAGTATTTTTAAATTATTGCGCTTGACTTAAGTACTTAATAACTACAATGAGTATTTTTATGATAAGTGAAACTACTTATTCATACCTGTATATTAACTAGCACAGATTAAAATAAACAATCCTTGACTAATATGGTCAGACAGTTTTTGAAATGAAATATTTTAATTATTTAGTATAGAAAGTTTCGCTTGCTAACATAAAAATTATCAGAATAGGAAACTACCATAAACGTAGTTCAATAACACTTTAATTCACAATGAACATGCATTTAAACAAAACTGTTTTGATATTCTTAAAAGTAATCTTGCAACACATATATTNAAATTAACTCCCTCAGTATCCCGATGGTTTTGTATAGAAGTCCAGGAAAAAAAAACATGCAATATAAATAACAAATTAAGAAAAGAAACTCAAACAAAATCATCAGAAAAATAAAAACTATGGGAGTTTTTATTTTTCTGATGATTTTTTTTGAGTTTTACAGGCATTTGATCAAAGTTGGTGCAAATAAGGTGACTCATATATGTTAATTATTAAATTATAAAACTGAATTATTAAAACAAAGGGCATAATCAGCTAACATAAAGAGGCTATTGTTATTTTCTATACCTATTTCTTAAAATTGGTATAGATCTAATAACTGGCATAAATTTTCTACTAAAATCATTTAACACTGCTCTTGATTGGTTGACCGGAGTTTCTTGGCATGATTCCATATTCTAACAGATTAATGACTTTTCTAGCACTTCTTAATTTCTGATCATTTGGCAATAAAATTTGAATTCTATTTTTCTCCATATTTGTTTTTTAATTTTAGTCTTTTTCTTATTTTCCATTTGCATTATACCTGATTCCACGTTACAAATGCCACTTTGTGTAGAGATTGTTAGTTTTGGAATCTGTTTTAACAAAGCAAGTACTTAGTGTATGTATATTTTTCTAACATTTAGAAAAAACGAGGTTACTAAAAATTTTACGTAGAGGGAATCGCGATTGAAAATTTTAAATTCCATATTTCTATGTGTATTGCAAATTTTACAGTAGTTTGTAGACTTATCAGTATCTATGATTATCATTTTGTGAAACAAAAATATTTTAAGTGCAAGTTGTTAAATCTGTTACATCCACAGGATAATTATATATGGCTTACAGAAAAACATTACAGCAAAATACACTGAAACTGCAAGTTTAGTTATGAGACTTCTACAAAACAAAAGCCCCTCTTTATGTAAATTTTTTATTTCCTGTGAATCTTCTCTCCTCTTTTCAAAGGGAACACTCTTGTAATTGGACAGTCATTTATTCACTAAATTTTAAAAGTTTTTTTTTTCGACTTTAAAGAAATATGCATCTTTCCATTTATTAAGGCATGAAATTTTTTGCCTTTATAACCAAAAATATTAAGCTTTTTCATAAAAAAAAAAATCATTTTCCTCTTCTGTCACCTCTCTTTACTTTTACAAAGTAGAGAAAATGATATGGACATCGTCTTTTGGATCTTTTCATTTGTAGGATACAGGTTATGATACCTCACTAGTTGTCATGGTACATTAAATGCACTCAAATCACCTTCTCTTCTGGAAATTTTTTCTTATAATCAATTTGACCACTTTACCTAACACAGCTCAAAAAAATAGAAATCTAATTATTGAGGTGTTCAAATAAATCATTTATTCAGACTCTCGACAAATTGCTCACTTTTTTTCTATGCATCATAGGTTTATCTTCTAAGAGATATTGTCAAATTTCCTATCAAGCAACGGGAAGATGTTAGGGATGTAAACCTATAGATTGGAACAGCCTGGTGAAGTGATGTAGGACTGAAATCATTATTTGATATATGATTAACTGTGGTATAAATTAGTGTAAAAAGGCTAAATGATTTAAAAATATACCATGAAGACATATCTGCTGCTGCTTAAAACAAACTTTTAATTACATCTTTCTTTTCAATTGGATAAATGTAAAATAAAGGCATGCACATATATTAAATTTCTTCTTCTATTACAAATGTTACAATATATATCAATACAAATAATTATTATAGATTAATTATTTCTATGCCACTGCAATTAAAAGCAATTTGACAATATCCTTAGTTATTAGAGTACCAATCTTGCAAACGGGCAGTTTTTGCAGTCCCAAAAGTGTTAAGTTTAATAAAGGTTTCACTATTCTAGTATTTTTAAATTATTGCTTATTCATGCCTGTATATTAACTAGCACAGATTAAAATAAACAATCTTTGACTAATATGGTCATGGACAGTTTTTGAAATGAAATATTTTAATTATTTAGTACAGAAAGTTTCGCTTGCTAATATAAAAATTATTAGAATAGGAAAACGACCATAAACGTAGCTCAATAACACTTTAATTCACAATGAACATACATTTAAACAAAATTGTTTTGATATTCTTATAAGGAATCTTGCAACACACATATTCTTTAGTTATTTCAGTTGTCATTAAATGTCACTTTATAAACACCGGTTTTTATCTCTTCAACATTTAACCAAGACTTCACATGGAAACATTGTAGATGACTTAGACAATGAGAATCATTAACTTTCTAGGAATGAGGACCATTTCATGCATCTGATAAAGCTGCAACTCCAGGTAATGTTTTACCTATAAAAGTAGAAACATTTTTTTTGACAACTTCAAAAATGGTTGAAATCACATTATATCCTAATCATTCAATAAATTACAGTATTTTAAAATATCTCTTAAAAGTTTTAAAGTTAAATTTTCAATTTTATTTAAAAAAAAATTACATTTGAACCTAAAAGGCTAGATAAGCTAGAAAAACTTTATAGTGAGCTGAGAGAAAAATGCAAGATTATAAAGTAAGAAGCTCTATATTGAAAGTAATTAACTTAGTCATTTTTATGTTTCACATAAAAATTTACGATCCAGAACACAAAATAAATCGATATAATTCATAAATCGTTTAATGTACTTAGTTTTCATAAATAGGTTTTAAAATTAGAATATTTAATATCTTCATTTACAAAATTTTTTTTATTTCTTGATAAAAACAAACAAACTAACCAACATGCACATTAAAATACTTGACAATAAATATTTTTTATTCTATATTTCTTAAAATAATTGACAAATTTCTTTCTTATAAGAAAATTACTTATAGATAGTTTAGTTTGTCATGTATTTATATTTTACCTTAGATTTTCCAGCCCGTCCTGTACAGTGCAAAAAAAATATTCACCTGAATACTTCTTATTTAATGAGGGATTTTCACGTTGTAGGACTAAATTTCTTGACTTAATTAGCGCAGATAATATTTAGGTTACGAAATCAGATACAAAAATGTGCTTTCTCTGAATAAACATACTCCTTTTTTCCCAATGAATTTGGATTTCTGACCACCAAAATATAGTGATAAGCCACTATCTCAGGAAAGTGATCAAGTTATGAACCCTTAATGTTAAATTTACTTTTTGCTTAATTCGCCATATCTCGAGAGCTTAAACGATTTGGAAAATGTTTGTACACAATTAAAAAATTAGTTTATCCAAAGATAATTCCATGCAAAAAATAATTTTGTGTCTGATTTTGCAACTTAAAATATCACCTGCACTTAAAGTTACCCCCTCAACCTTTAAGATTGAGTTAAAGTCAAAATTTAATCATTAGATCAAAAGTTATTCAGGGTCCCGGTAGCAGAAACCGTCAGCACGGTAGTGAGTGTAGCAGATTATTACACTGTATGGAGATTAACTACTATCTCAGACTTTCAACATAAATAAATAAATAAACTGCTAGCAAGAAAATGTAGTTTTTTTTTAAAGTAAGTGAAGTTGCAAAAAAAATAAATAAATGAATAGAGATCAATTAAAAAACACCAGACAGTCAAGGAATCATTAACCCACTTTTGAAATTTGATACCCAAACCAATTCAACAGGCAGGTGCAGCCTGCATGAAATGCTTTTATAAATCGAATTGATGATTAAAATTTAGCGTCAATAAAAATGATCCACACTGATATAATTATGAGTAAAAACAAATTTACCAATTATGAAAGATAGAACCATTTTAAATAAATAAAAAATTATATTTTTTTGTTTAAGTTTGCATTTAATTTTACAGCATAAAAATAAGTTAGCTTTAAAAGATGAGAATAGGTTTGTTTGTCTGAGATGCTTAGTTTTTACTGAAAAAATTTTTTCCTTCTAATTTTCCACTCTTAAAAATAATTTATTAACAGTATCGTCTCAAGTGCACTCTGACAGTAACATGAGGTTGTAGATCTCTTTTAGAGATCGTCAAAAAGACCTCGCTAAGTAAGAGCCTCACGCAAATATTTTGCAGGCATTTTAACCTACTTATTTGTTTTGTTAATATTTCATGTTTTAATGCGTTTTCAAGTTTCCTTTTTTGACCTTATTAACATTTAGTGTAGTGGTTTACCCGGTTGCTGGGAGAGGCTTTAATGGTCTCTCCTAAAGGTTTTTTCCTTTTTCTCAATATTTCTTAGTTTACATAAAATATATTTAAAATTTTACATGTACCTATGATGACCTGGAGAAGTAATTGAAAATTACAAATATGTCTTTTTTTCTTGAGTTTATGATTATAATAACTATTTACTGATAAAAATCATATATAATATTAATCTTGAATATAAGCTTATAAAGTATCTTTCTGGCTCTCCCTTACAAACAAATAAAATAAACTATTTTTAAGGTCCACCTTTGAAAATTTGATTTCCGGAAACTTTTGTGATCAAGGATTTTTTGAAACGTCTGAACCTTCGATCTCCGGAAACTTCCGGATCACGGTTAGCGAAAAACCCGGAAATCCGGATTTTTTCTGGAGCACAATCAGCCCTGCATACATTTATACAGTTGAAACAAATATCAATAAAAGTTTAAATATAACATAAAATACCTTCCAAAAGTTCTAAGCTAGCACCTCCTCCAGTGCTGACATGACTCACTTTGTCTTCAGTCTTCCATTTTGCACAACAGGTTGCAGTGTCACCACCACCTGTAAAATTAAATATTTGTTTTTAATGTTAACTAATGTATTGGAACTTTATTATACATTATAATTCGAAATAAAAAAATTTATTATCTAAATTGTGAAAAATGCAATCAATAACACATCATAAGAAGTGAACTGTTTTTATGCTTTATTTATTTCTATTAAACATCTTAATAAAAAACAAACAAATTGCTATTTTAAAAAAATAAAAGATTTCATTTCCCCATCATTATCGTATTGTTTAAAAATTAAACAAAGTGCTTGAAAATTATTCCCCATGAATTTTAACCCCTTAAGGTGTGAGCTCAAGTTAATTTGAGTGTGCTAAGCAGACCAAGATATGCACACTCTAGATAATTCAAACAATGTCGTATTTCATACATTCCTGTAGCAATTTTCAAGCAAATATAATCAAGCGTTGAAAATATGGAAACTATGAAAAGAATAATTTTATTGACATTTAATTATTTACATGACATTAAAAACTAAAATTATTTACATTTGTTTGTTTGAAAATAAAATATAGTCTTAATAAAAATCCAAAAATCAAAGTTAAGATTGATTTTGTACTTTTTTTCATTTTTCGCCAAAATATGATTCTAAAAAGATTTTTTTTCCTTCAAAAATGTGTATGTTAAGGGATTAAACTTCAATTTTTAAATCATACTTTTTATAATGACTTACTGAAATTATACTTAAAAAGTAAAATTTTTAGAATTTTCTATGCAAATTTTTTTTATTAACAGTTAAATGTATAATTCTTTCGTTGATATATTAAAGTTTGTCTGCATAATTTACAATCATAATAAAATACTAACTTCAAAAAGCAAAACATGCAAAAAGTTTTGAATATTGTGCAGGATTAAACTTATTTTTCAAAAACATACATGGAAACTGATTAAATACTACAGCTTTAAAAATGGTTTACTGATGCATAAAAGATAGTTTATTGATGTATAAAAGAAAGATGAGTTATAAAAGATGAATTTTTTAGTGCTTGAAGTAAATTTTAGTGTAACACTGAAATAAGGTTATGTTTCATTCCAAAACAGAGGGGAAAAAAACATTAGTTATTTAAATGAACAAATGAATATGCAATATACTAAAGATAGTAGAAAATAGTTCAAATAGTAAAAAATTGAAAAAAATGTTGGCCAGAATAAAATTTTAGATTAACAATATAAGAAAATGAAAGCTTAAAAGAAAAGTATTAATACCAATAATTGTTGTAACACCAGATTTAGTAACTTCAACAACTTTATCCATCACTGCTTTGGTCCCATTAGCAAAATTTGCAAATTCAAATACACCAACTGGGCTAGAAAAAAAAATGGTTTCAGTTCAGTGAAAATAATTACAATTCGTTAAATACCTTTTTAAAATATGAAGAAAATTATTACAGTCAAACTTCTATTGCTCAAACGTCTCTAACTAAGTTCTTAATTTCCTAAATTTGAAGACTTTATTCTTATTTGAAATCCTAGCAAAAATACCGGCTTTAACTTTGATTATTTTTTTTGATTGCTCGAAGTTTGATAAGTCAATTTTTTCATTAATTTGAAGAAACTTTTGTTTTCCAAATGTCAATTCTAATCTATAAGCCTTATTCTAAAACAATTCCAGCTCCCAGATAGGGTTAGGAAAAAAAAAAAAATACAATTTTAGGAGGGAAAATTATCTAAATTTCTCTTCATTATTAAAATATATTTCTCTTCATTGTCAAAAGTAGTAAATAGGAACATGGTTAACTTGAAATTTTGTCTACTTCAACACTGAAAAATTCTGAAGAAAGCATTCATTTTTGCTTCAGTTTCACAAATGTTTGTAAGGGATTTTGTAGCAGTCGTGTAAATTTAGCATTGATCTAAAACCTTACACATGGAAAAAAATTGAATTTTAAAAAATGTAAACGACTGGGAGACATAGTGAAAAAGGGCAATAAAATTGTTTGCAGAATTCTTCCTAACATTTTTTTAAAATCATGAAAATTTTTTTTTTTTTTTTAATGCAGTATGCATTTACTTTAAATGTTAACAAATTCCTTTTGAAAAACTATTTCTTTTAATGAAAATTGGTTCTCATTTTGCTGTTTTTGTCTAAAGCACATTTTGATCATTTTATGATTAGTTGAATTTTTGATATCATAAAATATTTTTGACTTTAGATGACACTTTGAGTTATCATTGTTTCACTGTATTTGTTTGAAAGAAAATATCTATGACAAAATTAACATAATATTTTATATGCTCTTTTATATTAGGTTCATAATGTAATTATCTATGTACCTTGTAAAACAAATTTCTGAATTTAGAAGTGAGAATTGGCATAATTTTAATATTGAGTACCTTTCTTTTAACCACCACATAAGACATTACCCTTTTTTATTTTGATGATCATTTATTAATTACTAATTTTTTACTTTTAGTACTACTATAGCATCATATTTTTACTTGTGAAGAAATTTTTTTTTTCAATTTAATTTCAGATTTTTATTTAGTCATTAAAAAACACTACTAGAAAATAATTTTCAAATATTAAATTTTTATTGGAAGTTTTAATTAAATTGCAATTAAAAGATTTTCCTGCATCTTTTTAATGCACATGTATCATGTTACATTTATGATTTCGAATTTTAATATAACAATAGTAATAGCTATCTCCTAAATCAATGAAAATAAACAAATAATCTGTTATAAAATTGTGCAACAAGTATGAAATGTCCCAAAACTGACCAACATTTGAAAAAAGAAAGAAGGTTGAAAAGAATTGTATGCAGCGATCTGATTATTAGAACAGTGCTGAGAGAAAGAGCTAATAAAAAAAAATGTTTTCTGCTGCACGTTATTTTAATTTAAAAAAATATGCTTGTTGTTTTGGTCTTCATTTTTAACTTCATTACGCGCTCCCGTGTCTCTCGTGTCTTTGGGAAATTCGCACTGGGTCTAACTTGCAGCTTACATAATCTGG